GAAATGCAAGGATGCTCATCTCAAATAGGAATTTTAAAACGGCCCATGTTACTTCTTTTATTTGATAATAAAGATAACCCCACAAAATTGATATTCATTTGTATTTCCTCGCGCCTACTGACGGAGTATTGTAATCGCGAAATATTAAATACTATGTTTGTGGCTGTTATATGACATGTACAGCAAGAAAAACCGTGTTAGTGATTTCCGTCAATCTCTCTGTCTGTCGGTTTGTCCGCAAACTTTTGGCCCGTCTATAACCCGGAATGTACTGTTCGGATTTTGACATTTTTACGCAAGTTACTACGATGCCAAGGACGTAAAAACTTTTTTGATGTTTTAGATTTAGAGGATGCTGTCATTTTGAAAAACTGGAGGGTGGGGCTTATAGGGTGGTGGGTGAAGGTGTATCGCAATTTTTCGATGGAAGTACATTGATACACTTCCAACACCAGCAATTCCATGCACCTATTAGATACGTTTACCATATCATAGAGTTCCCCGTACATTTGCTCTTAAAAGAAGAAACGGCGGGCGTGCCGATCTTCAAGTGTCTGGCGTTCTGCCGCATCTGACGCATCGTATTGGGGAGAGGCGATGTTGCCAGATGTACATTACTACGGGTAGGGCAGGGAATAATGTTACGAACGATAACGTTGCTAGATAGACTGTAACTTATATATTTTTTATGGTTTTGAAAAAACTACATTCAAGTGAATAACCCATTATTTCCACTTAATATTTCAGTGATGTGACACGAGTATTTCGCAGTCAGTGAACCTCGACGTTGGTCGTAACTGACCTCCGGATAACGATTTTGTGATTATAGCGGCCTGACAGCCTGGCATGTTGTAAGCAAAGCGCAAAGCGGTGCAGCAACCGTAAAATATGAACCTTGCGTGCACAACTGTTGCACGCTCATCTGTCCACCCCGCGAACTCAGGCTGACAGGGGGTAGGCAGGGGAGATTTTCCGTGAAGTGGATATTAATGTGCTACGCATTTATGACGCGGTTCATTTCAATGGATTGCGGTTTCCCTTTGTGCTCATATGGGGATAATTTTCGCATCTACGCTAACTGGAGAGGAAGTATTATAATCGCGAAAATTTTGAAAACGATACATATTTTTTTGATATAACATGTCATGTACAGTCTGTGAAAACTGAGTTCGCGTATGTTGACCTGACACGAGGTTGGAATCGCCTTACAATAAACTAATCTCAAGATCTTTTAGAGTAAGGATTTATCTTCAATTTAAATACTTGATAACCTCAAAAATTACCATTTTTAACCGAATTTTTAAGCAATGAATATACTCACTGTTTAACGTCTATATAGCACAATTTAAGTTTCTCCTACGCGTTTGCTTCAGTGAAAAACTAAAAACTAATAATAAGGGAGGATTTCTATTTGATTTACCATCAATTGAACGTCATTTTATGGACTAAGACTTTGTCATAACAAATTTTGAAAGAGATTTCCCAAATATAAAATCGTAACACAACTAAATACTGGTAGGATGATTGTTGATGATATGAAAGTTGCAAACTATCCACTGCGAAAGTGAAACAGCAACTTGTCTTTTGTAACTGTATCCCAGTACGAATTGTCAGCGGGGTTACGACTGTGGCAAGTAGTGTAGATTAGCCAATTTTAACACCTCCTCCGACCACTGCCCCCCTCCACCCTAAATAGTTAAATTCCGCCCCCACAGCAAACACCGAGACAATTCAAAGACCACACCCATCACTGCCCCCTCCCCCCAAAGATCATGCCAATTCAAAGACCACCCTCCACCCCAAACACTATGCCAGTTGTCAAACCTCATAATTCCATGCCGACAAAGGAATTGTTGGGTGTGGCCTGTAGCCATCATAAGAGTCGTCAAGAAGACAAGTGATCGAAAAAACCTGGTCGTTGTACCTCACTCTGAAAAGTAGCTGATGGTCGTAGTTCCGATGTGATGCTAACATCTTTTTTTATCAAATCTTCTACAATATTTTGAGGTGAGGTCGTCTTTGAATTGAGTCTTAGAACTGGCTAATCTATACCACTGACCGTATGTACAATATCGGCGGCACCTAGCGGCCGTAGTGGTGACCCGGTTGACCATCCGAACTGGGACGCAGTTCTAATAGACAGCTTGCCGTATTACTTTCGCAGTGGTCGATTCTGGTAATAGATGGCACTTTGTGGTGTCTTACTTCGATATACCGCAAACTCTATACAGAGTTGCTTAGCATTAGTTCGTTGTCCTTTGAGACCAAGCCTACGACATGCTGATGAGTTACCCAATAGCACGAAACATCCGTCCACGGTTGGCCGTATGTGGTCGGACAAACGAAAGCTATATAACTAATTTATATTAGGTTAACTCGTTGTATTTGTCTGGACTATAGAGAATGGATCTCCTAAATTTCCTCCAGCTGTTTACATACCCGATTGTTTGTGGAAATCGCTAGTCCCCCTCGATTTCTTTCAACAGGTCCTGAGCTTCCGAGTTACCCTGGATTCTTTCCTCGTATGCCATGTGGAGGATAAACAAAGAATGCAGACTAAAGAGAAGAAGCGTCACTGGCGAAAACACCTTCGAGTTTAGGACGAACTGACAATTTTCCTAGAAGTGAGACTTTTTGTTTCGAGGCTTGATTGCTCGGAAATAGAATTTCCAAACTTCGGGCTTATACCTTATGAGCTCGTTTTGGGTGTAGTCGAACAAGAAAATAATGTTTGGATTTGAGTGAGAATCAGTGAACAGAAAACTAGATACTATGAAGTAATATGAAAAAACTGAAACGATACTTCTTTTTCAACGTAATAGAATGTATTCCCGTTCCAGAAGCTGGAATGATGCATCCGCATAAAGTCAACATATAATGGAATTATAGTGATTATCTAGACTTTCCTCCCGAAAATGACTCGGCCAGCCTCTTTTCTGTCAGTATTCAAAAATACTGCTCCCTGTAACGTAAGAGAGCCAGGTCGTCCTTCTTTCAATATTCTACTCCCCAATTTCAACTCCATATGTCATTTTAGATACTTTCGGTGGAGTGACTCTTCTATATCTTTAGTCTGTATTCTTGGCCAATAAACGTGCCCGATATTCCGTTTCTCCGCCAGCCCTAGACCCAATTACACGTTTCCCACAAATCTGAAATATATCCCTGTTTACCTTCCACTGACTACGATAGCGCATCTCGGCAGCATGCACTTGACGTTGGCATCGATCCCATCACAACACAATCATATTTCATGATGGTTAATGAAAATGCTAATATTCTACAGAACGCCGATGTCAGTTGTAGGATTTTTTTCCCACTTTATAGACATTTTGATATTACAGATGATATTCTCTTCGCGAGCATTTTGCTCGTCACCCGTCAAATAGTCGCTCTTGGACGGGAGCTTTTAAGCCAACCTGCGGCCCAAGATGAAGTTTGGCCTTTAACATAACCTTCGGTCGAAGTCGATGTTCGGCCTTCAAGACAACCTTCTGCAAAAGATGGTGTTCGGCTTTTGAGATAACCTTCGGCCGAAGACGATGTTCGGTTTTTGAGACAACTTTCGACCGTAGATGTTTGGCCTTTGAGACGATCTTCGGCCTAAGACTATATTCGGCTTTTGAGACGATCTTTGGCTGAATACTATATTCGGCCTTCAGGACAACCTTTGGCCGTTAACGATGTTGGGCCTTCAAAACAACCTTCGGCCGATGTTCGGCTTTTGATACAATGTTCGGTCTGAGACGATATTATAAGACAACAGTCGGCTGAAGGCGATGTTCGGCCGAAGATAATTTTCAGCCTTCAAGACAGTCTTCGGCCGAAGATGTTTGTTCTTTAAAACAACCTTCAACCGAACACGATATACGGCCTTCAAGACAGCTTTCGGCAGAAGATGATGTTTGTTCTTTAAAACAATCTTCGGCCAAACACGATGTGCGGCCTTCAAGACAGCTTTCGGCCTAAGACAATGTTCGGCCTTCAAGACAACTTTTGGCCGAAGATGATGTTCAGAGTTCAAAACAACCTTCGGCGTTCGGCCTTTAGGGCAGCCTTCTAACGAAGACGATGTTCGGCCGTCAGGACAACCTTTGGTCGTTAACGATGTTGGGCCTTCAAGACAGCCTTCGGCCGAAGCCGATGTACGGTTTTTGATACAATGTTCGGCCTGAGACGATATTATAAGACAATAGTCGGCTTAAGACGATGTTCGGCAGAAGATAATGTTCAGTCTTCAAGACAGTCTTCGACCGAAGATGATGTTTGTTCTTTAAAATAACCTTCAACCAAACACGATATACGGCCTTCAAGACAGCTTTTGGCAGAAGACGATGTTTGTTCTTTAAAACAATCTTCGGCCAAACACGATGTGCGGCGTTCAAGACAGCTTTCGGCCAAAGACGATGTTCGGCCTTCAAAACAACTTTCGTTTAAAGACGACGTTCGGCCTTTAGGGCAGCCTTCGCCCGAAGACGATGTTCGGCCTACAGGAAAACTTATGGCCGTTAACGATGTGGGCCTTCAAGACAACCTTCGGCCGAAGACGATGTTTGGCCGAAGATGATGTTCAGCGTTCAAAACAACCTGCAGCCGAAGATGTTCGAACTAAAAAACAACTTTCGTTCAAAGACGACGTTCGGCCTTTAGGGCAGCCTTCGCCCGAAGACGATGTTCGGCCTTCAAGTCAACTTTCGGCCGAAGATGTGTTCGTCCTCCAAAACAACTTTCGTTCAAAGACGACGTTCAGCCGTTAGGGCAGCCTTCGTCCGAAGGCGGTGTTCGGCCTTCAAGACAACTTTCGACCGAAGACGATGCTCGGCCTTTAAGACAACCTTCGGTCGAACACGATGTGCGGCCTTCAAGACAACTTTCGGTTGAAGACGATGTTCGGCCGAGGATCTTCAGCGTTTAAGACAACCTTCTGTCGAAGATGAAAACAGGTGAACGTTTCTTAGTCCCATATTTTAGGTAAAAGGGGTGTATAGACAAAAATGGTCTAACTTGTTTAAAATGCTTTATTAGAATCTTCATATATTATATATAAAACTACATAAAAGATTGCCTGTTGTCGTCCAGAATTTTTCTGCAAGACTAATTGAGTGCCAATCAATAAAAATCCTCTATGTCTTCCATATCAACTGCTACGATTGGCTTCAATATCAATTCTTCCAATTCCTCTCTTTGTATGTCCAGAAAATGATTGATTTCCAATATTTTCTGCCTGTTCCGGGTTATTTCATCTTTGTTCAAAGTTTCCACGAAATTGGTTAGCCACCCTTTTGCTCTGCTATTCAGGGTGTCTTCTCTAAAATATAATAGACATTTTGTTGAGTGCTCCCCCGGCGAGTCGCTGCTATAATTTCTTATAGTACAGTCATACTAGGTATTTCTTATAGAATGGCTTCTTTGCAAAACTTAAAGGGGAGGGGCGGGATTCCTTGGAAAGTTGGTTTCATGTTTAAGAGTGACTATCGATCATAACTTTCGATCTCACTCGCTCCTGGGTGCGGACCATAGGTTTTGATCTCGGGATCAAGTGGAAAAATGTTTTTGTAGCTAAACTAGCTGATTTATACTAAGTGACATATAAATCCGAACACCCAGTTTAAATGGTTTTATTTTAATAAAAGTTGGTGAATGTATTTATCTTACTGTAAATAACAAGTGAAAAATTTTCAGCCTTATCAGTTGGACATTCCGGTTTTTATACTGCTTTTTTTTTAATTCACTAACGCTCTAAAAATGAATATTTCAGCCGCAGTAAAAAATCAACGTTGGCGGATTTCGGTTCTTGACATCCTTTACGATCGGTTACGATGCCTAGAGTACGGAGACCTGTACGATTTCGTCAACTTAGTGAGTTTGATAGGGGCCGTATAGTGGGACTTCGGGAAGCTGGACTTTCTTTTCGGGCAATTGCAGTTAGAGTGCAAAGAAGTGTAGACACTGTGGTTAGGTGTTGTCAGGCATGGCTTCGAGAAGGCCGTACGCAAAGAGCAAGGGGCACTGGACGCCGCCGTTGAACAACAGACCGTGAAGATCGCCGCCTAAGATTATTGGCCTTAAGGGACCGTTTCTCTACTACCAGGTCCATTGCAAATGAATGGTTTGCAGAACACGGAAGACCTATTGGCATGCGAAGTGTTTACCGACGAATGAGAAGTTTTGGCTTGTTTTCATACCGGCCACACTGGGTCCTCCCTTTAACTCGAGAACACCGACGTAATCGCCTTGAGTGATGTAGACAACGGTCACTCTGGGATCAGGAATGGAACAGTATTGTCTTTAGTGACGAGTCTCGATTTTGTTTAGGCATGTACGATGGTCGTGCCAGGGTTAGAAGGCGACGTGGTGAAAGGAGGAATCCACAGTTTTTTGTTGAAAGACATGTTCATCACACTGTTGGAGTTATGGTTTGTGGTGCTATAGCTTATGGTTCCAGGTCACCTTTAATCTTCATCAGAGGTAACATGAACGCGCAGCGTTATATCCACGAAGTTCTAGAACCCCATCTTTTACCCTATCTTGACACCCTGGCAGATCCAACTTTCCAACAAGATAATGCCCGACCACATGTTGCAAGAGTCACAATAGACTTCTTTCAACATAATGATGTCACATTGTTACCATGGCCACCAAGATCTCCCGACTTATTCCCAATTGAGCACGTGTGGGATATGATGGGTAGGAGATTGCTCAATTTGTAACGTCCTCCTCAGATTCTAGAAGCACTTCGAGAGGAGTTGGTGGTTGCCTGGAATGAGATACCACAGGAGGACATTGACCACCTGATCAGAAGCATGCCTAGGCGCGTTGGAGAATGCGTAGCACATCAGGGTACATCCACACATTATTAAAGGTCAAAGGGTTTTAAAGCAGTGCAATCATTTTGAAATTTTTATCATTTACTTATTATGCTTCATTAAGTACTTATACAAAATTTTATTAAAATAAAACCATTGAAACTGGGTGTTCGGATTTATATGTCACTTAGTATATAATTAATTTCTTGATTTAGTATAAGGATTAGAGGCCTTGTATTTTTTCGTTAGTTTGACAGACATTTTAGAAGAAATCGACTATATCCATTTGATCGATTACTCAAAGACGCCTCCTGATTGGTCTATTATTATCAAGATTTTAGATCCCGGGTGTTAATATTAAAATCGGACCTAAGGGAATTACTAGAGTTTGTATGCGTATAATATAAACATCCAAGATTCTGAAAAAAAAAACTCAAAATGCTTCTTGTCGTACCTATTATCAATAACCTGGAGATGCAAGTCGTGAGACGCTCCGATTGCATTGGTGAGTGCCTCTCTGTCGGAAATGATGTTCTTTAGAGAAGGAGGCATACCCCTGTAATCCGCGATGACAGCTTGGGTCATGTATCTTCCGCCTACGTCTCCCAGATTCTCGGAAAATATGACTTCAAGTGCGCGGATCTGGCTAAACAAGGCTTGACATTCTTCGGTGAAGGTGTTGATCATGTCAGCTGAAAAATGATAAACGGTGAACTGTAGTTCGTAAGTCTACGAGCCCCTTCCCTCTTCAGTTGGCCCAACTATTGATATCTTAGTATTTTTCTTATCAAACACAAATAATAAAAATGTAGCAGGGTGCTATAGATTTAAAATATTAACAATGAATATTTTGATAATATATAGTAGAAAACAGCAACTTTATCACTCCCTAATCAAATTTGCAGCATAAGAATAACACATGTTGCAATTACAGCATATCAACCTATTTTCATTTCAATGCAAAATAAGTCTATAACGCATAGGTGGCTGCGAAAAATAAAAGCCATGACAATTGTTTTTATTAATCACAGCTGTCAGAATACGTTTAAAATAGTTTTGGGTGGTTAAGCTTTTAAGCCAACCTGCGGCCCAAGACAAAGTTTGGCCTTTAACATAACCTTCGGTGGAAGTCGATGTTCGGCCTTCAAGACAACCTTCTGCAAAAGATGATGTTCGGCTTTTGAGATAACCTTCGGCCGAAGACGATGTTCGGTTTTTGAGACAACTTTCGACCGTAGATGTTTGGCCTTTGAGACGATCTTCGGCCTAAGACTATATTCGGCTTTTGAGACGATCGTTGACTGAAGACTATATTCGACCTTCAGGACAACCTTTGGCCGTTAACGATGTTGGGCCTTCAAAACAACCTTAGGCCGAAGCCGATGTTCGGCTTTTGATACAATGTTCGGTCTGAGACGATATTATAAGACAACAGTCGGCTGAAGGCGATGTTCGGCCGAAGATAATTTTCAGCCTTCAAGACAATCTTCGGCCGAAGATGTTTGTTCTTTAAAACAACCTTCAACCGAACACGATATACGGCCTTAAAGACAGCTTTTGGCAGAAGACGATGTTTGTTCTTTAAAACAATCTTCGGCCAAACACGATGTGCGGCCTTCAAGACAGCATATCAACCTATTTTCATTTCAATGCAAAATAAGTCTATAACGCATAGGTGGCTGTGAAAAATAAAAGCCATGACAATTATTTTTATTAATCACAGCTGTCAGAATACGTTTAAAATAGTTTTGGGTGGTTAAGCTTTTAAGCCAACCTGCGGCCCAAGACAAAGTTTGGCCTTTAACATAACCTTCGGTCGAAGTCGATGTTCGGCCTTCAAGACAACCTTCTGCAAAAGATGATGTTCGGCTTTTGAGATAACCTTCGGCCGAAGACGATGTTCGGTTTTTGAGACAACTTTCGACCGTAGATGTTTGGCCTTTGAGACGATCTTCGGCCTAAGACTATATTCGGCTTTTGAGACGATCTTTGCCTGAAGACTATATTCGACCTTCAGGACAACCTTTGGCCGTTAACGATGTTGGGCCTTCAAAACAACCTTAGGCCGAAGCCGATGTTCGGCTTTTGATACAATGTTCGGTCTGAGACGATATTATAAGACAACAGTCGGCTGAAGGCGATGTTCGGCCGAAGATGATTTTCAGCCTTCAAGACAATCTTCGGCCGAAGATGTTTGTTCTTTAAAACAACCTTCAACCGAACACGATATACGGCCTTCATTACAGCTTTAGGCAGAAGATGATGTTTGTTCTTTAAAACAATCTTCGGCCAAACACGATGTGCGGCCTTCAAGACAGCTTTCGGCCTAAGACAATGTTCGGCCTTCAAGACAACTTTTGGCCGAAGACGATGTTCGGCCTTCAGGACAACCTTTGGTCGTTAACGATGTTGGGCCTTCAAGACAGCCTTCGGCCGAAGGCGATGTACGGTTTTTGATACAATGTTCGGCCTGAGACGATATTATAAGACAATAGTCGGCTGAAGACAATGTTCGGCAGAAGATAATGTTCAGCCGTCAAGACAGTCTTCGGCCGAAGATGATGTTTGTTCTTTAAAATAACCTTCAACCAAACACGATATACGGCCTTAAAGACAGCTTTTGGCAGAAGACGATGTTTGTTCTTTAAAACAATCTTCGGCCAAACACGATGTGCGGCCTTCAAGACAGCATATCAACCTATTTTCATTTCAATGCAAAATAAGTCTATAACGCATAGGTGGCTGTGAAAAATAAAAGCCATGACAATTGTTTTTATTAATCACAGCTGTCAGAATACGTGTAAAATAGTTTTGGGTAGTTAAGGTTTTCAAAATGGGTAGAGGAAAGGTTATTAGTGAGAAAATTCGGTTACTGATAATTATTTTTTTTAATTCTGGGAAGTCAAACTCAGAAATTGCAACTTTGTTAGACTTATCGAGGTTACAGTGTGAAAAATATTGTTAGAAGATATAACGTAACTGGTTCAGTTAATATTAAGCCACGATATGTGAAAAAAATTAATATCACAAATGCCGACCGAAGAGCATTAAGGAGAATAATCGTGAAAAACAAGCGTGCCAATTATTTACAATCAAGTGCTCTGTGGATTGACGCTGTTGGCAGGAGAATTTCGAGGTCCACAACACATAGAGAGGCCCACAAACTGGGATTTAGCACTTGCAAGTTAAGTTTTCTTATAAAAAAAAGTGAAGTAGGAAAAACCCTAGTTGCACAACTTGTTTATAGGCCAAAGAAAAGCCACTATTAACTCCACTGCAAAAGAAAAATCGGCTTCGATGGGCTAAAGAGCATAGACAATGGACACCTCAACAATGGTGTGCAATACAATGGAGTGATTAGTCTCCATTCGTGTGTTGGTGACAGTCGCAGTAGAGTTATTCGCAAAAAAATTAAGCATTCAATGTTGACTGTAAGAAGAGAAAAGTGACATTTCCAGCATCTATTATGGTCTGGGGTAGTATGTCATCAAAAAGAGTAGGAAAATTTCATTTTATTGATGGAAATGTGGATACAAACAAATATTTGGCAATTTTAGAAGAATCGCTTTTACCAGTGATGGAAGAATATTTGACATCCGGCTAAGATTTTGGGTTTCAGCCAGATGGTGCAGCGTGCCATACCTCAAAAGAGGCTATAAAATGGATGGAAGAAAATAATGTACCACTTTTGAAATGGGTTTCTGGCAGTCCAGATCTGTCACCTATTGAAACTTTGTGGCACGAGATGAAAAAGGTTCTACGACAGCATCCTGCTTGTACAAACACCGAACTGAGATAAAAGCTTCAAGAAATATGGGATTGTTTTACACAAAATGTTTGCCAAAACTTGGTTGACACTATGTCTCAATGAATTTCAGCCGTAATAAAAAATAAAGGTGATGTTACTCAATGGTAATCTTTCAATTGTTGCTTTGTTAACTTCGCGCATTTATTCGCACATTGTTTATTTGTTCAGATGTTCTATTAGTTATAGGTCTAAGTGATTTCAAATATGTATTTTTTACGACTAGAGTGTATCTAAAATGTTTTTGAGAAAATAAATTGTTTTAGAAGTAAATAGTTTCGTCGTGTTTAGTTTATAAAGGCATATTTTGGTACAAATCTTGAAGTGGGCCAACTGAAGTGGGAAGGGGCTCGTGTAGCAGGAGAGTAGGTATCACTCAGAGCAAAAAATGTCGTGGACGAGAAGACGCATACACTTTATTTTTGATAAACAAGTGAATAAAATGCCAAAAAATATGAAATAGTGGTCGTAGTAGTATTTTGATTTCATCTCTAAAATTAAACTGTTAACTTGGAACAGCACATTCTTTGCCTATTCAAAAACGTATCATGACTAGTCTAAATTATCGGTTTGATCTTGCTGCACTTACTAAGAGCACGCTCAAGGTTTGAGTTGACTTCTTCCAGTTGCTCAAAAAGTTGCAGTTCTAATTTCATCAAACATTTCCATACTTCATGAACAATCTCGTTGAACTTCTCTGAGATCTCATCCGTTTTGTCGAAGTAATCAGATTCGTCTATCAGATCGTTATCAGCTTTCTCCTGAAATTCAAATTCAAAATGAAAATACTTCTAAATATTTTTAAGGTTGCAATCTATATCTAGCTGGCTATAAAACCTACGTTTATGTGCAAAAATGTTGTAACTCACATTTAAAGCCTTTATTTGATCGAATAATACTTTTTTCTTTTGCATAAAGACGTCCATGTGTGCGATGCTTTCATTTTGGTTTTCCTTTATGGCTACCTCGACGGATTTTTGATATACTTCGACCTCCGCCTTCCGGATTTTATAATGTTTCTGACCGGACTCAAACACTTGTCTACACAGATCTATGAATTGCTGCTCGAATTCTTCGTAGAATTCTTGCACGTCTTCACCGATCTCCATCAAAGCCCTACCTGAAATAATATGAATTTCATTAGTTCCACTGTAAGGTGAATAATCAGTAGTAGATATTCGTGACCAAGTGCAGGAGTATCTAAAGTAGAGGTGAAAATAAGATGAATGAAAATGTACAACACAACGTTCCCATGTTATATTCTATGGGGTTGTCCAAAACGGATGCAGGAAAGTAAACGCATATTAAAACAAGAACGGTTGATATTCAAATCAAGTTGGGTACTTTATTTTGAAGGTTCATTTATACCATTTATGTATGAAAAATAATATCGCTCAAATGTTCACCACGACTGGATTTACAGACGTCCATGCGATGGTCGAAATTTCAATGACATTTTGCAACATGGTCGGTTTTATGGCATTTATCTCGGCAATGATGTTGTTTTTGAGTTCTTGGAGGGTGGCTGGTTTGTTGACGTAGACTTTGCTTTTCAAATATCCCCATAAAAAGAAGTCCAAGGGAGTCAAATCGCACGATCTTGGTGGCCATGGCACATTTCCTCTGCGCGAAATCACGCGATCACCGAAGAATGACTGCAATCGATGGATATTGACGTTGGTTGTGTGGCATGTTGCACCGTCTTGTTGGAAATAAACATCGTCCAAATCCATTACTTCAAGTTGCGGCAAAAAATAGTCCTCTATCATCACGTGATATCGCTCAGAATTGACGGTAACGGCGTCCCCGGCCGCATTTTCGAAAAAGTAAGGTCCGATGATGCCTTATGACCACAATGCACACCGCACAGTCACTTTTTGAGGATGCATCGGCTACTCTTGATACTCAGGGGGATTTTCTTCGCCCAGATGCGGCAGTTTTGCTTGTTTACCGTCCCATTCAAAGTGAAATGCGCTTCGTCGTTGAACATGATTTTTGATGAAAAATTGGCATCAATTTGGCGGTGTTCAAGGAGCCAATCTGAGAACGTTCGGCGCGAAAAATGGTCGGCCCGACGCAGCTCTTGCGTCAATTGGATCTTGTAGGCGTGTACATTCAAATCCTTGTGGAGAATGCGCAGCAAACTGGTTCTCGAAATGCCCAATTCTTGGGATCGACGCGTTGTTGATTGTTTCGGATCGTCTCTCACACTTTCCTTCACAACAGCAATATTTTCCGGTGTGCGAACGCTCCTTGGCCGGCCAGAGCCTGGCAGATTTGCTACAGTACCTGTTGCCTCGAATTTACGCACCAGACGACCGATGGTTGTTTCGTTTGGGCGGTTGTTGCGACCGAAATGTTCACGAAGCGCGCGAAACGTGTTTTTTATTTTTGCACCATTTTTGTAGCGCTCTTGAATAACTTTAATGCGGTCTTCAATCGAATACGACTCCATAGCGATCAATGGTAAACATTCAACTAACAAAATGACATGTCGGTGACAGAAAACAAAGATGGCGTCTATGTCAAATTGACGTTTACTTTCCTGCGTCCCTGTTGGACAACCCTTTATGTTCGGTTCATTCTATAGTCGCCTACAGTCAGTATTCCTGCATTGATGATAAGACAAAAAATAAACATGAGAGCCAAGCGAATGTCACACGGTCATCAGTATTTACTGTGTTCCGTACCATCTAACAAACAGCAGCGGTGGCCGCAGTAGTAGACGCGTCGGTCTCCTGTTCCGTCGCCGTGCGCTGTGCATGTTCGAATCCCGTCCCATGAGAAATTTTTATCTTGGCTATAGATGTTGTGATTGTCCGTAGGTGACAGACGGTCTCTGATTGTCGAACGCGGAGGTACCACCAGGCGGATCTCGTAGGCGGAGCCAGAATGTGTGCATGCAACATGCCAGAGTCCGTGTGGCGTTCCCCCTTTCCCCTGTATCCCCCTATAGCCTTACGGTACCCAATGGGTGTTTAGGACTTAGGCCTTCGTGGCAGTTGGAGTATACACAAAAATCTAGGTTGCGTTCATAAATTTTTACAAAGTTTACTATTTATTACTCTGTAACATTTTTTGGGTTCGTAATTGTTTGACGTACCTATAACATTCGTTCGGAAATAGAACGAAGTAATCCTTCTGGAAAGTTTCAAAGTGCGGTTTTTGTTCCCGTGCTCAAAACCTTGGTGTTACATATTGGCAACATGGCAGATCCACAGTTTTTTGTTGAAAGACATGTTCATCACACTGTTGGAGTTATGGTTTGGGGTGCTATAGCTTATGGTTCCAGGTCACCTTTAATCTTCATCAGAGGTAACATGAACGCGCAGCGTTATATCCACGAAGTTCTAGAACCCCATCTTTTACCCTATCTTGACACCCTGGCAGATCCAACTTTCCAACAAGATAATGCCCGACCACATGTTGCAAGAGTCACAATAGACTTCTTTCAACATAATGATGTCACATTGTTACCATGGCCACCAAGATCTCCCGACTTATCCCCAATTGAGCACGTGTGGGATATGATGGGTAGGAGATTGCTCAATTTGCAACGTCCTCCTCAGACTCTAGAAGTACTTCGAGAGGAGATGGTGGTTGCCTGGAATGAGATACCACAGGAGGACATTGACCACCTGATCAGAAGCATGCCTAGGCGCGTTGGAGAATGCGTAGCACATCAGGGTGCATCCACACATTGTTAAAGGTCAAAGGGCTTTAAAGCAGTGCAATCATTTTGAAATTTTTATCATTTACTTATTATGCTTCATTAAGTACTTATACAAAATTTTATTAAATAAAACCATTTAAACTGGGTGTTCGGATTTATATGTCACTTAGTATATTTTGTTGAGCACTGGATAGGTACTGACCAAAATCGTTCATCTATGATCATGGAGGTGGAAACCTTGCATTGGGATGTACGAGGTGCGGTGTTGCCAGAATTAGTGGCGATCCTGATCTTTCATATAGACCTGATATGGAGCGCTATTAGGACCGATCCGGAAGAATCGATCCTAAACAGATTCGACACAGTTCACCATTAAAAAATGTTAACACTCAAAATAAAACCTCAGAGAATAAACATATTTTCAACATGCATCTTAATTCAAGAAAATGGTGTAGCAGATTGCCGCGTCAGCGTTGCTATGCAATGCGGTGCTGTGCTCCGCTATCCAGCTGGCTTCTATCTCGTTTGTGTCTCTCTCATACACATTCAATTCAAGCCGCCAGACAAATTTGGTTCTCATGTCATAAAATAAACAATATAAAAAAATGACGTCAAGTAGAATGGCCTTTGAATATGCAGCATGTAAAGCATCCAAGCCAAAGTTTTCACAAATTATTCGACGGTACTGAAACTCTTTATTCCTTGACATAAGACCGTAGAGTAGAATGAGTATCAAACAGTCTCTATTTTAAAGGTCACATTTCCTGCTCCTTCCATTTCCTGTGTAAAAATGAGAGGTTTCCTTTGGACATTTTGACTGTTCCTCGAAGGTCATGGTCAAGGTCACACTTGGGTCATACCTACAAACCTCAACTGAGCAGTCGAACATTTTTGCTAGAGCAAACGGTTTTCGACTTCTTGATTAGACCTTGAAATGGCCTTGAAAGAAATGTTCAGGGTCGTGGAGATAGTCATATTTGGATGTAACATTTCGTCCCCTTTTCACTGTTGACTTAACCATGAAAATGCCTTAATAGTTGAGGCCAAGGCCATTGTCAAGTTCACCTTCATTTTGTAAGTTTGAAACTTGCCAGAACATCGTTAGCCTTCATGGATCAACATCGCACCAACAGTTTATCTTGGCCACCACGATCGTCTGACCTATCACCAATTGAACATATCCGGGACATGATAGGTCGCAGGCTTTTGAATTTTCAACACCCTACACATACTTTAGCAGCTCTTACTCACGAAGTTGCAATAGCCTGGAATGAGATACCCCAACAGGATATCGAGCATATTATCAGCACGATGTCCAGCCGTGTCAATGAGTGTATAAGAAATCGTGGATCGTCAACACATCATTGAACCAGCGTCAGCAGTCAGTTGATGAATTCAGCTGAAAATTCACTCATTTTACTGGTAAGGGACACTGAACATATACGCCAAAAATTATTAAAATCGGATAAACATTCGTACCCTTTTTGTCACTCCGTATACAGGGTGACAGGTAAATAGGTGTAAAACATTTTAGGAGGTGATAGTACAGCCCCTTTGCTATCGAAATTAGTATATAATACCATACCCTATATTCAAAGGTTGAAAAGTTTAAGATTTTTTTAAAAACAATCCATATTTCAGAGTAAAAAAGTCGAGAGAGAAAAAAGTTGGCGATTAAACATTTGTTTTTTGTGGTTTTGGGTTATTATTTCAATAATTAACTATTATAAATTAAAAAAGATTCGAAAAAAATACCAAACAACGTATTTATTTTCATTCAAAAATGTTTAACTAAGAAAAACAAATAACGTTTTACAGTAAGTAAGGTGTTTTACAAAAAAATCAGTATACAAAAAAACATACAAACAATTTAAATAATATCCTTGTTTCATAAGGAATCTAAATTGGTATGATAAGTGCACAAAAACTGTGTGAAACTAATCATAATGTATTGTAATACAACAATAGGGAGTAAATTTACCAATGGCTTGTCTCCTATTTTCACAACTCTCTGATTGATAAGAAAGTGTTTTTGTGAAAATAATGTAACTGTAAGCTATGGGATAGTTATTATTTTAAACTACGGTTAAGTTACAGGATTAGATTATTTACACAGTTTGTAATTGTACTACAGAATAATAAAAACTGACTAAATGTTACTACAATTGGTAAGTAAAATACAATAATGAAATGAAGGTAAACTTCATTGCAATTGTTGTTCGAACTGACGCCCGCCGTTTCTTATGCAAGCCCGTAGTCTTTTTCTCATGTTGGTACGCGTGATGCGGCCAGTTAGTTGTCCTCTGATAGTGTCAGCAGCAGCAATAATTCTTTCTTTCAACTGTGCAAGAGTGTCTATGGGCTCAGCGTACACCAGTGACTTCATGTGTCATAAATAATAGTCACACGGTGTTAAATCTGGGCTCCTCGCTGGCCACGGTGTCGGT